GGCAATATATCACTGTGGAATTTGACCGTCCAGTAGGCGGTTGTTTTGGCAGCCCGCCAGGAGGCCGAAATGAGAGAGGAAGTCGGCTCCGATGAGTGGCTGAGTAACGTCGGCCACTATGAATCGCCACGTAAAATCCCGACGTAGTCCCAAGTTGAGGCTAAGAGGCAACCATCCGTAGGTGTGGATTGTGGTGCCGTTAGCCGCGCAGAGGTTGTAGTTGACATGTTCCCTGTGCCGTGGGATGAGCCCGCGGGGATACACGCATAGGTCTGAACCTGTGTCTACCAGAAATCGCCGTTTACTGATCCTATCAGTGACGAAAAGGCACTCAAAATGGCACTTCTTGAAGTGTAGAATTAAGTATAATGATGTTCCTTTTAAAATGTATTTACTGGTTACTTTGACTTGGGCTTTCCGCTGCACGCGATATGATGTTCACTTTTCCGATACAGTAGGCTCCCAAGGCATTTAAATTTGTATTAAAATTTCTTGTAAAAAATTAGTTATTGTGTTAAAATATCGTGAGCCGACATTGGGTCATGATGTTATCCTCCTGATGGTGGGAGATGTCGTTTATTTCTCTTGATTTTACTTTCTTATTATTAGTACTGTAGTTTACATGCGTGCTATGTCGTTTATACTGTTTTGAATAGTATAGTGCCTAAGACAACCGTGATAGAAACAAAATTTATATAGTGAACATTATTGTTAATATCTTATTTGACAGTGTTTCCTGATCGTAGTGGTGCGCCTCTGATGATGATTATTTGAATCGAATAATGTAAGGTGAATGAGGACTGAAGTGTTGTAAACTTGTATGTCACACTGGACTGCACATTATCCAATTTTACTCCGTAATAACGTCCTGTCCTTTTAAATTCTATGATCTCATTTCATATCTTCTCAAGGTATTCCTTTTTGGCCCTGCCCGTGGCTCTTTTCAATTCATTCCTCAGTCTCCTGTATTTCCTCCTGCCTTCTCCATTGTTGACATTCTTCCATTTCCTTCGCTCCTCCATTTTGCACATCATCTCCTGTTTAACCCATGGCTTTCTTGCTATCTTCTCAACTTTACCAACCAATGCACTAATAGTGTCTAACATGCATTCTTTTATATTGTTCCACTGCATTTCAGCATTTCTGCCAGAAACCTTGGAAGCGGAACCGGAAGAAGTAGATACAGACGCGAAAGAACCATATATTTTACAAAGTGAGGTGGAAAAAGGACATGAGGAATGGAAAGGCTACAGGAGATGATGATGTACCTGGAGATGTGCTTAAGTTGCTGGGAGAAGGTGGTTTGAAAACACTGACAAAACTAATGATCACCACATATGAAACTGGGGAGTGGCCCAAGGACTTTACAGAAGTGACAATTATTGCCTTAAAGAAAAATACAAAAGCTACAAAATGCAGCGACCATCGCACAATAAGCCTTATTGCACATACAGCAAAGATAATAGCAAAGTCACTTAAAAGAAGAATTGAAAGGAAAATAGAGGATATACTTGGAGAGGATCAGTTTGGATTTAGAAGAGGAAAAGGAACCAGGGATGCAATTGGGATGATGAGAATTATAGCAGAACGAACTTTGGAGATAGATGAAGAACTATGTGCTTGCTTTAGAGACTGGCAGAAGGCATTTGACTGTGTAAATTGGACCAAATTAATGCAGATCCTAAAGGAAACAGGTATCGATTGGGGTGAAAGGAGATTGATTAGTAAATTGTACATGGATCAGGAAGTTAGAGTGCGACTGGACAGAGGGGAGACAAGAAGTGTGAAGAGTGGAAGAGGAGTTCGACAAGGATGCTGTTTATCACCAATTCTGTTCAACTTGTACAGCGAATGCCTTGCCAAAGAAGCTCTGGATGGGCTCGGAGACTTCAAATTAGGAGGGCAAATTATTCAAACTATTAAATATGCAGATGACCTTGTGCTAATGGCTAAGGAGGAAACTGTGCTACAGGGTATGATCGATAGACTAATCGAAATTGGAAGGTGCCATGGCATGGAAATGAATGTGGAAAAAACAAAAGTAATGAAGATTTCGAGACAACCAACCCCAGTCTCAATAAAGATAGATCAAAAACAGCTGGAGAATGTGAAATGTTTTAAATATTTGGGTAACTTGTTAACAGATGACGGAAAGTGTACTTGTGAAATTAAATCTAGGATTGCCATGGCAAAAGCTATATTTAGCATGAAAAAGAATCATTTTACCAGCAAATTGGACTTAAATTTGGGAAAGCAACTAGTGAAATGCTACGTTTGGAGCATCGCTTTGTATGGGGCTGAAACTTGGACACTTAGGGCAGTAGATCAGAAACACCCAGAAAGCTTCGAAATGTGGTGTTGTAGAAGGCTGGAGAAGATCAGTTGGTCCGATTATGTGAGAAATGAAGAAGTGTTAGTTAGACTGAGTGAGCAGAGGAATATCCTACACGAAATAAGAAAACGGAAGGCTAATTGGATTGGTCATGTTTTATGCAGAAACTGCCTTCTAAAAGAAGTTATTGAAGGAAAGATATAGAGGCGGATAGAAGTGACCAGAAGACGAGGAAGAAGACGTAAGAAGATGCTGGATGACCTTGGGAACAGAAGAGGATATTTTCATTTGANCTATATGGTAACCTCAGTATTACTACTCCCTATACATGATTTATAACACATGAATGTAACTGAAAAGCTATGTTCTGCATAGCATTCAAGTATATGTTGTAACCAAAGTTATGATGTTGAATACAAGTATCTCTGATGGACACAGGTTTTTTTTTAAGTTTACACACCATCAGCATTCTTAAACACAAGTCATCTAAGTATGTTATGGTTCAAATGCCCTTTGCATTTCAGTAAGTGGGTTTTGAGTTGATGTAAATGAAATGTTCGTGCTTTACAGGCACCGATGAGAAACTTTCTCATGATAAATAATGTTGCAACCTGATCTCTTGTACTGCAGAGGTTCTTATTCCGTTGTGTGTTTTCTGTTTTCAAACTGAGTTTCATATCACTTAGCTCATGCCCCTCCAGTAGGCATTGAGTGAAGTCATTTAAACTCAGTTTGAAAACAAAAAACACTCAACACCTCTGCAGTACAAGAGGCCAGGTTTGTAAATTATTTGCAGCTATTCATGTGAATTAGTGGTCTTTTGGGACGGAGCAGTACATAAAGGCAGGTGTTATGATAGCATACCCTCTTACCGACCTAGCTGTCGGCACTGGAGGCAGCCATTTTGTATCCATAGAAAATATTCCGGACACTGCGGCAGCAGTGATGCTTTCATGACGTCATGGCAGCTATGATGCCCGCCAATAGCATTGATTTACCATTCTGTTCTCTGCACCAGGAATCTTCCTGGGATATAAATTGCGGCTAGCCCGTTAGGCTGACAACCTTAACGCTATCTGTGAGTCGATTTTCTAGATAATGTGGAAACATCAACGTCTCACAACCCTATGGGCTCTATGACCTTTTACAAGAATAGCTTTACAATATTGTAATTAAGCATCCTGTTGCATTAATATATCATTTATTTCGCATATATTTCCGTCTTAAATACAACTTATTATAGTCATCCTTCTTCCACATTATATCTGCAGTAAAAGTACAGGCTCGTGGATACGTTTGGCCATAACTCATACGTATACTTTTTTTTGCTGTTGTTCACTTAGGTATCATTTTATTCCTCTATTAAGGTTATACTTATATCTGTCTTGTAATTACTACATATAAAAATAAATACTAAGGACTGTGCATGCGCTTCTACTAGCGGCGTGTGTGCGCGCTTCCACTAGTGGAGTTTAAATGCCGGACTGGCCAAAACGGGGTACTTTGGTCACGACGACCATACTCATCACTGGCCCGATCGGGGCACTTTGGACGTAAAAGGTTAATTAAAACAAATTAATATCCCAATATTTTCCTTATGGTCGTCGACCTCCGTTTTCACGCCGTCTCAACCGGTCTCAGCTACCTCCATATTATGATGTGATCAGTATTATTATCTTCCATTGCAGAAGGTAAATTGCACGAAATTAAAAAACACCCCCATACATTAGTCTGACGAACATAACCACTTAAGATGATGAGAGCAACTATCGAAACATAAGTGTCCTCAGTTTGCGACTGCTAATCGGGAAACTAGTAGCCTGCTTGAAATTAGCAATTTTCCTCGGACATTGCGGTTGCGTTGCGCTTGCCAGTTTCCTTGGTGTACCCTCAAGGAATGACGTATCATCATATTTTAGACAGTGTAGAACAGAGGTTCTCACAGCGGTGGTTATGAAGTGTGCCCTTCATATTTTAGACAAACTATACGATGTTGGATTTAAAGTTTTCACAGCAATGGCCATGAAGAGTTCTGAGATGTAACGCCATAGAATCCGGTAAAATTTCACTACTCTTCGAAGATCTGCTTGCTGCTTGCTTCTTGCATGGCTTCGACTGCAATTATGGGGCCAGTACGTTCATCCGAATCGTCGATAAATTACCGAACTTCACGGTGTTGCATCGCAGTACATCACAACATGGATCACTAAATAGCAGCAGTGAATAGTGAACGTTGCAGGTTGAGCTCTGTCCCTTAAACAACTTATTAATCACTGTCGATAGGTATATGTTCCTGATGAACAAATGAATTAATGAATTAGAATAATTTAATTTCCCATTTAAAACTGCATTTTCGAAGTTTCACATTTAATGACGTAAATATCGAGACTGTAGTGATGATTAATGGATATGCAGCAATTGGTGTTACATAAATTGGCAGGGAAGCCCGTAGTACTTGGAGGAAACCTGCCCCAGTGCCAATTTATCTGCCTCAAATCCCACATGTCCTGCCCTGAGACCTAACCAGGGCAACCGTGGTGGGTAGTCGGTGACCACGGATCGATCGAAGATCGCCAAATCATGGGTAGTGCAAAGGGAATAATGTTCATCTACAGATCTAAATTTGCCACAACAATCGATAGATCTCATTCGATTGCAGCTATATATACTATATCGCAATTTTATCTTAGACATGTAACTTGATAACTTGATTGTGCCTTAATTTCACATCTCGTTGGCAGACTAATGGACCGCTCATGGACTGAACAGTAATCATTGTGCTTCCAATGGACATATTGAAGCCAGATTTAATGTGGATAGAGGGCAGATGCTATAGACTAAATATTGAGGACTCATCCTTCAGAGGAGAGGAGGATGAACAATTTGCAGACGATGGATTCGCAGAAGGAAGTATGTTACCCTCCAGGTTATCTGTTTGTATATTAATGAATTGTAGATTTGTTGTTTTCCAGCTTAAGTAAATATACATTTGTGTCTTATATCATAACTGAATCTTGGATACACCAGTACAGGACATTTCACGCGTCTCCAGGAAGTATTGTCCATTGCGTACCAGATTCCTTTCCGTATTACTAGCCCAGTTCGCGTATTGAATGAGATGAGAGTCATTTTAAACGTTTACACAGGAGTGATGAGAAAGAATGACCCTGCCACAGTTAACAGCAAATTTGCAAGCAGAGGGCGAGAAAAGCCGCGAATCTTAGTTTATAGTCAATTCCCGTTACACTCTTGATTTATTATATTCATAATTATGTTAACATGATAGCACCTGTGCTTTATTTATGTTCATTATTTGAAGCCTAATGGTGATTTATTGCTAATTTTCATTATCATCAGAAGGCTATTTATAAATCTTCTAATCTGCTCAACATTGTCTGAAGTAGGGAAACTTGCATGCTAACACTGGTGTGTTGTAGCAATGTAATAGGAAGGGCAGTGGAAAGTCAAGACTTCCACATCTTTGCAGCAGACTTTGTATATGTTTCTCTTTTATACTTGCCACTAAACTGCAGTCCAGAAATAGTAACAGTGCAGCTACATATTCTGTACTCTGGACTTTTTCTATTCTGGACAATCTATTGGCCTTCATTTCTGACAGTACTTTCTTTCTGGTTTTGTGGATCTGTTTTCCACAAGTTTCATTTTAGACATGGTCTGTTCAGATTATTGCAACTAATGTACTGAGGAATCTATTTATGCCACCTCAATGTACCATTTTTCTGCTTTAACCAAAATCCAGCACCCACTGCAATATGATAGTGCTGGTTAGTATTTACATATTTACAGTTGACCAAAGTAAATATAAAATGTTGCCTGCCACAATAGCATTGTCAGCCACAGAAGTTTGTTTGTTAAGTAAAAAACTTAGAGAAAGTTTTGTATATTTACTTTTAAGAAAAAGTTGGAAGCTTAATTTTTTAAACAGAACCAAGGGCCTGAAACTGTGTGGATTTATTTCATTTCTTTGAGACAAATTCTAAGGATAGGCTTTAGGTTTTGTTTTTGGAAATAAACTTCTAAGGTTGGCAGCACTATTGTAGCAGACAACATGGTGGTAACTTTTGAAGTTACCTAAGTTCCCCACTAATAAATAAATCAGTAGCAACTGTCTGTTATTTATGTAGCATGAAGTGACAGGGTGATTAGTGCATAATGAATTGTATGTAAAGAATGTGGAAAGAAATGTTTGTAGTCTAATTTATGTTATTGTCGCTGTGTTTGCCTAGAGAATATGAGGAAAAACATGTAAGTCTGAGGATAGCCTGTTTCTGGCTTGACATTTGAACCATATTTCGAATTTCTGTTGTCTCTACTTCTGACAGCAGGGACATGTGGTAGAGTAGTTGGTTGAGGCACTATGCTACAAGCTTGAAAGTTGCGGGTTTGATTCCCTATGAAATCATTCGACTTTTCCAATTGACCTAATCCTTCCAGCCTCACTATGGCCCTAGGATTGACTTAGCCTCTGACAGAAATGAGTACCAGGAATCTTCCTGGAACTTCTGACAGCAATCAGAGCACACATCTTCATGCACTGCCTCATAGTGTTGCAGGCCCATCCACTGTGCAGACGTCTTCAAGAAATTCATGACTCTCCCCAGACCCATTTATTTATTTGTGATTTATTTAACAATGCTGTCAGTAGCTCAGACAGTATAGTGTCCAATGGTAGGGTGGTTGATTAGTAATGAATTAAAATTAAGTAAGATTTGAGGCTTTCACAGCAGTGACTATGAAGAAAGCAGTCTTCTGGGATTTGGCACCGTGTATATGTGGTGTTAACTGACGTTTCGGAGGAACGTATCGCCTCCATCTTCAGGGTAGAAGAAAAAATATAAGAAATCTGTAAGCGAAGAGACCGTGAGAACCAGTAAAAGCAGACTGGTGTTGGAAATATACACAGCTATGTGAGAGCAGAGAAGGAAGGGGGGAACAGCAAGTATACAAGTGAAAACAGTAGTGTGGGAGGGGGGGGGAGGAGCTGGGACAAGCATGGTTTTTGTGTTGGGGGAGGTAAAGGCAAAGTTTTGTCTCAGCAAGTCTTGGAAGCCTCTCATCTGTTTGCTTAAAAACCCCCACCGGCATATGACGCGAGATCCAGAAGGCCACACAGGCCATGACCAACCAACATAACAACCCCCCCTCCTCAGCTTATGGGTTAGTGCCCAGCCTTTAACCTTGCCTTTCTCTCCCCTACACAAAAACCATGCTTGTCCCAGCTCCCTTCCCCCCCCCTCCTCCCACACTACTGTTTTCACTTGTATACTTGCCGTTCCCCCCTTCCTTCTCTGCTCTCACATAGCTGTGTATATTTCCAACACCAGTCTGCTTTTACCAGTTCTCACGGTCTCTTCGCTTGCAGATTTCTTATATTTTTTCTTCTACCCTGAAGATGGAGGCGATACGTTCCTCCGAAACGTCGGTTAACACCACATATACACGGTGCCAAATCCCAGAAGACTGCTTTCTTCAATTAAAATTAAGTTGTGCCTTTTCATGCAGTTTATTGTGGGCCATCCAGACATTTGTTAAACTGTTTCAGGGTATACCAAATACAGAAATTTGACAGTCTTTACCTGAGTTCATCCGCACATTATTTTCATGCTATCATCACTGTAATATGAGAACAGAGACATCTAGTGGTCTGATAAAGATACTTTGGTAATTTCAGATTCTGACTGTCCAGTAGAAGAACTTGGTGAATCTTTTGAGATTGAAACTACAGAAGATGGAAGATACAGAGCATCTCTTCTCATTCCACGGTTAGAAATTATGTCCTTCAAACTGATCTGCTTATTTTGATAGTTCTCTGGCATTATAAATAATATTAATTTTGTTCTTACTCATTAACAGGGGACCCATGTAACTTTAACATTTACCTCTGTGTTAACACTGCCAGCCTTGGGAATTTATTTGTAAAAACAAGACTGATGCCAAGCCTTAAAATTCCCCTCCAACAGCTATCGCACCTGGTTGTGCTTTTGGTTTCGTTTTTAAACATAAATTTATGAAAATCAAAGGTTATGCTTTAAGTTTTGTGTTACAAATAAAGTTATACAATTGGTGGCAGCACTACTAATATGTCAGTAATGCTTTTAAATTTACTTGTGTCATTGTTAATATGTAAGTACTTGGTGATTATGAGTATGAGGGGTGAGCCATAAAAGTGGCCCATACACTGTGACCTTCAGTGATCTATTGTGCTTCCCCTTTGGGTTAACCCTTTATTAATCCTACACTTTGAATGAAATGTAGGACTTTATTTATGGGGACATCATAAAAGTCACTTGGTTCCATGAAGAATTGACCCAGGTGGTGATATCTTAGGTAAGCTGTAGCCTCACAATCACATAAAGTGTGTGTGGCTGATTCATCTTCTTGTATGCACCTTTCACGAGTTGGGTTGTCTGTCACTCCCAGTTTGAAAAGGTGCCCTTTTAGGTGGCAGTGTCCAGTAAGTAATCCTACCACTCATCTGAGTTGATCTCTGTTTAATTTTAACAAGTCCCTCATTCTCTTGGCAGAGGGTCCTGGTATAAATCCTTTTGTCTGTTTGAGTCCAGTTGTGGATTCCCAGTGCTTTTTGTGATTTCAGTTAGTCCACTCCATGATCGCTTTCTTGGCAACTCCAATTGAGATGTTGCAAGCTGGTTCAGGTCTCATGAACGTCTGTTCAGATTCTGTTCTTGCCAGCTGATCTACGGTTTCATTCCCAGCAATACCCTCATGGCACCCATATCACCTGAACTCTGTTATGTCTGGCCAGTTGTAAGAGGGATTGGTGGCAATCCCAAACCAATTTTGAAGTGATTTGATGTGTACCAAGTGCTTTGATTGCAGCTTAACTATCTGATAGAATATAGATATTCATATTTTTGTAGTTTCTATCTAAATTCTCAATTGTGCATGCATTAATGGCATACACTTCTGCATGGAATACTGTAGTACACTGACCAAGACCGAAACTGCGTTTCTGCCTTGTGCCATCACAATGCACTCCAGCTTCAGTGCCTTTATTTGTCTTGGAACCATCTGTATACAAGATTAGTCTCCCATTTCTATCAGGATGAAACCCCTCTTTCCATTCACTTCTATCAGGAAATCTGATCATGAAGGGTTTTCCATAGACATGTTTCAGTGTCATTTTATCAGATCCCATCCGTAGGATGGGTTCCTTTTTCATGTCCTGAATCATGTATGAGTGTCCAAAACCAACAGATTTAGGTCTTCACTGATCATTGCAATGTAATCTGTAATTTCCTAACTTGGCCTCTGCTTCCATCTGCAGATGCAGTGGGGGAGTCCTAGTAGGATTTCCATTGCAGCTGTTGGAGCTGTTCTCATTGCTCCCGTAATTCCCACCATATAGTGGCAGCATAGGTAATTATGGCTCTTACTACAGCAGTATATATCCAATACACCATCTTTGGTTTCAGTCCCCATTTTTTTCCAAATGTGCCTCTGCATGTCCAGAAGGCCTTATAGACCTTGTTAATAGCCTTGTCCAGCTGTTTTTTCCATGTCAGTCCCTCATCTAATGTTATTCAAGGTACTTGACTTCATTGGATAGCCAGATCGCTTGACTGAAGAGCATTGGTTCCTTAAGCCCCTTGATATTCCTCCTCCTAGTAAATGGTATAATGACCGTCTTGTTTGGATTGATAGACAAGTTTGTTCTTTCGCACCACTGTTGAACTGTGTGCAGGGCTGTTTGTAAGACCTCTGACACAGTGTAAGGGAATTTCCCATCTATTAGGATTGTTATGTCATCAGCATATCCTACTGTGAAATGACCTTTACTGTTGAGCTCTCAAAGATGATCATCCAAGACCAGGCTCCACAGCAGAGGGGAGAGAACACCTCCCTGTGGACACCCTCTCGCCGCAGACGCTCTCAGGGTCTCTCCAGACAATGTAGCACTTATATTCCTGTTTTCCAGCATAGCGCAGATCCATCTGCATATTGTGGGCTCAATGCCATGCCTTTCAGCAGCCTGTTTTATTGTGTCTAAAGAGGTTCTGTCAAAGGCCCCCTCTATGTCAAGGAATGCTCCAAGGGCAATATCCTTGCATTCGATGGCATTTTCTATGTGTGTAACCACATTATGCAGTGCTGTTTCAGTAGATTTACCTATTTGGTAAGCATGCTGGTTTTGATGCAGAGAATGAATCTTCAATGCACCGTCCGTAATATATCTATCTACTACTTTCTCCATTGTCTTCAAAAGGAAAAACAACAGGCTGATAGGACGATAAACCTTAGCCTTGGTATAATCAAGTTTCCTGGGCTTCGGTATAGATGTCACTTTGACTTGCCTCCAGGCCATAGGGATAAACCCATGCGCCATGCAGGCTCTGAATATGCGGCATAGGTGTGGGACTAAATGTTCCATCCTTTCCTGCAGAAGTGCTGGAACAATTTCTTCTGTTCCCGCAGACTTAAATGGTTTGAAGGTACCTAACGCCCATCTAATTTTTGATTGAGTGATTACCTGACTGGCCAGGTTCCAGTCTCCCCTGTTCGTTATGTGTCTACATATGCCCAGGTTCTGCTGGACCTACCCATCACCTGAATCATCAATCAGCTTTGAATCAGGGAAGTGAACTCTGAACAGTTCTTTCAGTGTCCTTTTCCCAGTTTGGGTATACTTACCATCAGACAGCTTGATAGTACTGACCTTGTTGGTCGCCTGTTTTGCCATGACCATCATGAGTCTGGCACTGCCTGGTACATCATTGATCTGGCGGTACCTCCTCCGTGAGGATCACTTGGCTTTCCTTATTTCTTTATTATAACAGGTGAGGGTTTCCTTGTAGGTTTCCCACAGCCCTGTTCTTTTTGCTATATTAAATAGCTTTCTTGTTTTAGTTCTTAGCCCACTCAGGTACACCAAGGTGTATTCCTTGGTAAGCGAGTGGTCTTGGCTGGACAGTTATGATAATAGGACAAGATAATGGCCTTTTGCAGCTGGTCAACAAATCTAAGTATCTGATACTTTATTGTGTATTTCACTTCTTTCTTGCAGATACTATTTTGCACGTGTGGTTGGATCTAAGGGTGCTGTGCGTCGTCGGCTTGAGAATGAAACTAAGACTCAGATCCATGTTCCAAGACAGGGGCAAGATGGATGCATTGGTACCAGCAATATTTCTCATCATCTCTAACAGATAGTAGGCAGGATTTGCTAAAGATCAGGATGCTCCTTTTGAAGTTGGGAATTTAATACCAGAAATGAAATCTCTTACATAAAACAGTGTGTTCCTGCATGCAAGCAACTGGCTTGTATTTGGAAGGTGGGTCTTGTAGGCAGAGCATTTGGACAGAAGTCTGAATTTCAGAGTGCCAAACTGCTGAAAAGTCCAACCTTCTGGGATACAATGTAATGTAATGTAATGTTATAGATGGTTACTGATATTTTCGGGAAGCCTGTCGCTTCTGTAATCTGCCCTGAAGATGAAGGTATAGATTCCTCAAGAACACAGTAGCTCTCAAATTATTTGTCATCACATCCTCATGGGGCATTGGTTGTAAACACAAGGTATCCAGAAAGTCACTGTGAGGTTTTAGGAGTCTGTATTTTCTTAAGCATTGCATATACTAAAGAAACAATTAACTGAAATAGGTTGGAACCCAGAAAGTTTCTGAGGTAAGTTTTCACATGTGTTCCTCTTGCAGCACGACAGAAACATAGCTCATAACCAACTCCAGCCCATCTCTTAGAGTTGCTGTTATCAACAGCTGCAGTGATCCACTCTTGCAGCACGACGGAAACATGGCTCATAACCAACTTCAGCCCATCTCTTAGAGTTGCTGTTATCAACAGCTGCAGTGATCCACTGTTTTACACGGCTGTTTGCCCAGTGCACCGATTCAGAGCGCTTTGGACAAAAAGTCCAAAAGAAAAAATTGTTTGGGCATGTCAGATTTGCTGATTTCAGAGTCTGCAGTTGCAGTCACCAAGCTGCCAAGACTACTTTTTCTAGTGGATTGATGTGAGAAGTGCTGTGTTTGAGCAAGATGGACAATTGGCCAACTTTAATGAACTGAAAGAGTTAATCAATGCAGCTGTGGTAACTGTGACTGCAGAGGAGGATTAAAATTAGTTATTGGCTAGTTATCTGTTTGTGCTTTGGAAGGAGCACCTGTTTAAATTTACTGCCAGAGATGTTCTGAGTTTGTAGTCCCATCTCTCCTGCATGCAGTTCTTTCAGAATTTTCTAATGCTTCTGTAACTGCCCTCCCCACTCTCCCAATGATATCTGTGTTATTGCCATAGGCACAATTTGCACTGATTTGTTGTATACTGTACCCCTTGTTTTTATGCGTGATGCCCCTACAGCTGTTGCAAGAACCTTATTAAATAATACACATTATACTGTTTTTATCCATTCCTGGATGTTTGTCATCATGCTGGCATAGTTCTCAGGCACAGGGACAACTTAATCTTTTATCTTACTGGGTAACTATGCAATATTGGGCAGTCAACAAGGGCTTCTGATTTGAGACAGATAGTGCTGCTATCTGTTAACTGTAGGGTTCATGGGGAAAACAAAGCAAGAGATCATATCTGGTTAGAATTGCTAGGTACAAACTTACAAACTTGGGAGGTTCCTTTTCCTGACACCCATAAATAGAAATTGGGCCATATATACGTATGCAACATGAATTCATGGCAGATTATTTGGGCTGTAAATACCTTCAGTAGGATATGTTAGTGTACAGAGCAGTAGTTTTTATCTAGAAACCAGGGCAGCTGAGTCAGTATACTGAATGAGTTTCATGAAGTGTGTGTAATGGGGTGATCCATATTTTCAGTTATCATCGGAAGCACTAAGAGCATGGTATCAGCTGCTGGAAGAAGGATTAACCTGATAGTTATGTCAGCACGACAGAAACAGCAGTTTACCCACTTTCTTTCTATTCCGATGGTAGGAGATTCCATAAAGAAGAGGTTTATGATTTTTAAGGTGAGTGCCATTTACTTCTGTGGATGAAGGATGAGGTTTATATCAGGAACACAAAGGATTCAGAGTGAAGTTGCATACCTCATATAGTTAGGATTCATGCTTTATATTCCAGGGGTTCCAGTTTAGAATCTCACTTAGCGTCATGAAGGTTACACACTCAGCATTGCATAGATTGCATTCTTGTTGACACAGGTGGGAGGATAATATTAGAGAAATGGAATGGGGTGGTATGGACTGGATTCATCTGGCTCAGCATAGGGACTGGTGGAAGGGTCTTGTGAATGCAGAAATGAACCATCAGGTTCCATAAAATAGTGTGAAATTTGTAAGTAGTTGAGCAACTGACAGCTTTTCAAGAAGGATTCAGCCCCATGGAGTCAGTCAGCCAGTCATGAAATAAATAAATTTGAACAATTTATTTATTGAGATTCTTTATCTTTTGTTCTTAAAATGTTCTCATAGTCTTATTCTGTTATTTACTACTTTATCTTCCAACATCAAGAGCAGAGATTAGAAAAGATGTCATGCAAAAGGAAGGAAGAGTGAGAGGAACTATGGGAAGGCAGATGGATGAAGAAACTTTGTTGCAGGACAACCCCCGTAAAGCGGAAATGTTTAAGAATGGAAAAGAAGAAGAATTTTAGTCTTATTTTTGTGTGCTTGTACCCATGCTAGGAATGTATTACTGATGAAGTTTTGTGAGAACTAATAATTTTTAATCATCATAAATACTCTATGTAGATACTTCTGAGTTAGATCAGTGTTTCTTATAGTGGGATACAGTGTACTCAAAAATAAGAACTTCTGTTTGTAACTAATATCGCTTAATATTGTCATTACTTTATGTAAGGTGACTGTAGAAGGGTTCTGAATTGATAATCAGATTTATGGGACTCTTTGATACAGCATGTGATGGTACAGTATGATTCACTGTTACACATGCACTTGCACAGGGCCATGTCTTCACTTGCCATTGCTTGGTAGTGGCTTCCAATGGCTGACATTCCGCTTCCTCGGGGCTCCCACCTCAGCTACAGCAACTCTTGACTCACCAACTAATTCAGTTCAACTGACTGACTTAACTTCTCACTAACTCTCCTGCTTACAACATCTCAGCACAGATCACCCAGAAAATATAGTTCTTCCGTGCTGTGTACCAGTAACGGCCGTTGTCCAGTTATTTATTTTGCGGTCGTTGCATAGCAATGGGTCTGCTTGCCACAATACATGGTTATTCAAAAAGAATGAACCGATTTTATTACACAATATTTTATTAAAGGAAAGTAATACAAAACTCCAGCCAAGTCACAAGTAAGATTTGAGGCTTTCACGGTGGTGACTATGAAGAAAGCAGTCTTCTGGGATTTGGCACCGTGTATATCAACAGTTGGCCCAACATCAGCCGGCCTGAAGACAAACCTGGCTCAGTCGCCTTCCTTCCCTATGTCGGGACCATATTCAGCCGTATCAGAGTGCTGTCCCGGCACATCAAAGCAGTGGGTCTGCCTCCAAACAAATTACCCAGTTTCCTCCGACCGGTTAAAGACAGCCTGGGCCTAAGGACACCGAGTGTATACAGTATCCCATGCAAGTGCGGGAAGGTCTGTATTGGGCAGACAGGCCGCTCCGTGGACATGAGGTTGAAGGAGCATCAGCGGCACATCTGTCTCGAACAACCGGACAGGTTGGCCGTAGCTGAACGCAGCATCGATCTGGGACACTGCATTCAGCTTCAGAATACCTCCATCCTCGCCACCAAGACCCGCTGTATGGATCGCATCATTAGGGAGGCAATTGAGATTGAACTGCATCCAAAAAATATGAACAGAGAAGGGGGGGTTTTGTCTCAGCAAGTCTTGGAAACCTCTCATCTGTTCTCTTAAAAACCCCCACCGGGATATGATGCCAGATCCAGAAGGCCACACAGGCCATGACCAACCAACATAACAACCCCCCCCTCCTCAGCTTATGGGTTAGTGCCCAGCCTTTAACCTTGCCTTTCTCTCCCCTACACAAAAACCATGCTTGTCCCAGCTCCCTTCCCCCCCCCTCCACCCACACTACTGTTTTCACTTGTATACTTGCCCGTCCCCCCTTCCTTCTCTGCTCTCACATAGCTGTGTAAATTTCCAACACAGTCTGCTTTTACCGGTTCTCACGGTCTCTTCACTTGCAGATTTCTTATATTTTTTCTTCTACCCTGAAGATGGAGGCGATACGTTCCTCCGAAACGTCGGTTAACACCACATATACACGGTGCCAAATCCCAGAAGACTGCTTTCTTCAAGTCACAAGTATTCTACTCAAAATCAACTTTTATTTCCTGTCTTACAAGTGTTCAATGTGGCCACCACCTGCAGCACGGGCAACATCAATGCAATAAGAGAATTCCTCCCAGACGCATATCAGCATATCACGATGCACTGAGTTAATCGCGTTGTTATTCGATGTGTAAGGTCATCGAGGTTAGTAGGTAGTGGTGGAACATAAACGTGATCTTTTACATATCCCCACAAGAAGAAATCACACACGGTGAGGTCTGGGGATCTCGCAGGCCAAGCACAAAGAGCAAGGTCTCTGGCCCCCTTCTGACAAATGCATCGCTGGGGCACTTTTTCATTTAAAAAAGCTCAGACCATCAGGTGCCAGTGGGGCGGTGGTCCATCTTGTTGAAAAATGAAGTCATGCGAATCTGCTTGCAGTGAAGTGAAGAGCCAGTTTTGGAGCATATATAGATAGGTTTGTCCTGTAACTGTGTTTCCTTCAAAGAAAAAGGGACCATAAACCTTGTCCTGATTCCTTAGGGGAATCTCTTTCGAGCTCAACTGTTTCATGTGGGTGCTCTGTTCACCAAACACGCACATTGTGACGACTGACTGTGCCGCTCAAGTGAAAGTCCCTTCATCACTGAAAATTAAACGTGAAATGAAGGTTTCGTCTTCCATCATCTCCAGCATCGAATCGCAAAATTCCATCCGCTTCTTTTTGTCGTCATTGGTAAGTGCCTGAACGAGCTGCAGTCTGTATGGTTTCATATGTAGACGTACTGTTAGCACATGCCAGACAGTGGATTGAGGAATCGCAAGCTCACGGCTAGCTCGATTTGTTGACTTCCGCAGGCTCCTCTCAGACGCAGCACGGATTCTCGCCACTTGTTCCTCCGAGACTCGTGGTCGTCCTGGACTTTTTCCTTTACACAAGACACCCACTCTCTTGAAACTGTCAAAACCACCGTCGAATGTTATTAGGACAGGGCGGATTAATGCCGAATCGCCTTCGAAAAGCACGCTGCACCGTGACAACGGAATTTGTTTTCGCGAAGTAGAGAACGCAGAATGCCTTTTGCTCAGGACTCGCCATTCCGAGGGTAAACGAACAACTGAACATTGCCGGAAGAATGACGCAACTTCAGCACCCCTGTGGCAGCCATTCACAACTTAGATAACTCCTCTTTCAAATGGTCACTAACTCATTCCATGACGATGCTTGAGAACTGAAGCAATGCAACATGAAATTGGTTCATTCTTTTTTAATAACCCTGTATTAAAAACTGCATTTCTCAGATAGTAAGAAACTTTGTGAGATTTGAGATTCTCACAGCAGTAACTGTCTTCTCAGCTGTGACCCCATGTAGTCTGGTAGAAATTTTTCGGTGTTTCAAAGGAATGTACTGCCTCCATCTTCATGGTTGAAGAGTGAGCTGAGTAGACAAGCAGCACTGTAGTTGCTTTTAGCTTGTTTCCTTGTGTGGCTTTCTCTTCAACCCTGAAGATGGAGACACTGCATTCACCTCAAACATTAGTGAACTTCTTCCAGGCTACATGGGGTCACATCCAAGAAAGTGGTACTCTTGCAAGAGAAGTTTTGGCTTTGCATTCACTGTGATGAAACTACATTCCTTTTTGGCAAACTGGCTGGTGTGATGTGAGATGCTGGGTTAGGCACTACGATATGGACATATTTTGATTCTAAACTTCAAGATTCTGACCAGTTGGTATTAAAATCATAGTACTGTGGCATGCAGATGTGTTGCTAGGCAATGACCACAAAGTAAATAGCTGTACAGTGGCCATTGTTAAGTAATGACCACAACAGATTTGTAACGTGAAACAAAGGAGTAACTGGGAAGTGGTGTTCTCTGCGAAGTCCATGGGATAGCTGTGTGACACAACAGTGGAAGAACTGTTGGGAGAGGTGTTTCTTACACGATCTATGCTGAGGCTATATAAGGAGCAGTAGCTGCAATTACAGGAGACTCTTGGGACGGCAGTGAGAAGAGTTGGTATGACATGGCCTCCAGCCTGGGAGTTAGGCTGACCAGTAAGGATGTGAACACAGGAGCTGAGGGAGCTGTGACTTTGGAAACTGTTAACCAGGCGACAGTCAATGAAACCCTGAGAACATGTAGTGCATGCTGTGGTGAGTTGTAGATTGTGGGAATCAGTGATAGTGCTACAGTTACTTGTAGTTATAATCTGTAAGAGTTCAATAAATCCAATTACCAATCCAAACGCCATCTATAGTCACATTCACAAATGTGACAATATATTTGAATGACACCATGCATTCTGGTAGGTAGGTAGGTAGGTAGCTAGCTAGCAATGTTTCAGATGGACGTGCATCAGACTACATTATATTGCATGCCGTAATCATAGTTGAATGTTGTGAAGTATGAAAAGCCTTACTTCAGATGACCAGTTGAATTCCAAGCAGTCAGGGGTTTTAGCAACTAAACATGAGAAAATATGACAGTTGAGTCTAATGTTATGTTTTGTCACTTTTTAATTTTGTCTCTACCTTGGAAGTGGAACCAGAAGAAGAAGTAGATACAGGCGGGAAAGGACCATATATTTTACAAAGTGAGGTGGAAAAAGCTGTCAAGGACATGAGGACTGGAAAGGATACAGGAGATGATGATGTACCTGGAGATGTGCTTAAGTTACTGGGAGAAGGTGGTTTGAAAACACTGACAAAACTAATAAACACCATATATGAAACTG